CCTCACCCCCTGCCTCACCATGTCTCCCTAAACCAGAGGACAAAACTACTCTCATCCTGCGTCTTTGTTTTTGCCAGGCAACAGACCAAAAACAATGTGGACCTTTATGTTCCTTATACCAGTGAAACCACATACACATGTATTAATTAATTAATTAATTAACTAACACTAGAAGGCAGTGTGACTTGAGAATGTGGCATTTATACACTACAAGAATTACTAAAAACGATAAGTATTACTGTGAAGTGAGAGGAAAAAAAAAAAAAACCTCATCTGATTCACCGTCATTTAAAGTTCTAGCTGTCCTGCAGCGCATGAAAGGAGAGAGAGAGTGTGTGGAGGGGGTGAGGTGCAGGGGAGGAGGGGGGGGGGATTAAGGTATTGATTTTAAGGTGAGGGAGCAGCAGTAGGTCGTTAAAAAGGCCTGACGCTCATTAGTTTAGGTCGTGAGGTGAAGTGAGCCCCGGGGATTTTTGTGTAACGACGACCACAAAAGGACTAACGATTAAAATTATTTATACATTACTGTGGTGTAAGGTGTTAAAGGGCAGATTGGAAAGATGGAGACGGTGCTGGAGACACTGGAGACACTGGAGGTGAGTGAGGTTTCCAAAAAGTCCAGATATAGAAAGACACCTGAAGGTTACTGAAAACACCCTGTGTGGTGAAAATTCAAATGTAAATTAACTTTTCTCTCAGACTACATTTAAATTTACAATATAATGTTCTACAGAGAGATGGTTTCTTTGGTTTTAAAAATCAGCAGCAGCTAAAGCTGTTCTGTGAAGCAGTGAACGCAGCAGACAAACGTCCTTAATTAGTTACAGAGAGAGAGAGAGAGAGAGAGAAACAGAGAGAGAGAAAAAGAGACAGAGACAGAGAGAAACAGAGACAGAGAAAAGAGAGAGAGGGAAACAGAGACAGAGAAAAGAGAGAGAGGGAAACAGAGACAGAGAAAAAAAAGAAAGAGACAGAGAGAGATGGAGAGACAGAGAGAGATATAGAGGAGAGAGAGAGGGAGAGACAGAGAAAAAGAGACAGAGTGAGAGAAACAGAGAAAAAGAGACAGAGCGAGAGAAACAGAGAAAAAGAGACAGAGACAGAGAGAAACAGAGACAGAGAAAAGAGAGAGAGGGAAACAGAGACAGAGAAAAAGAGACAGACAGAGAGAGAGAAACAGAGAGAGAGAAAAAGAGACAGAGACAGAGAGAAACAGAGACAGAGAAAAGAGAGAGAGGGAAACAGAGACAGAGAAAAAGAGACAGACAGAGAGACACAGAAAAAAAGAAAGAGACAGAGAGAGATGGAGAGACAGAGAGAGATATAGAGGAGAGAGAGAGGGAGAGACAGAAAAAGAGACAGAGAGAGAGAAACAGAGAGAGAGAAAAAGAGACAGAGACAGAGAGAAACAGAGACAGAGAAAAGAGAGAGAGGGAAACAGAGACAGAGAAAAAGACAGACAGAGAGAGAGAGAGAGAGAGAAACAGAGAGAGAGAAAAAGAGACAGAGACAGAGAGAAACAGAGACAGAGAAAAAGACAGAGAGAGAGAAAAAGAGACAGAGAGAGAAACAGAGACAGAGAAAAAGAGACAGACAGAGAGACACAGAAAAAAAGAAAGAGACAGAGAGAGATGGAGAGACAGAGAGAGATATAGAGGAGAGAGAGAGGGAGAGACAGAAAAAGAGACAGAGAGAGAGAAAAAGAGACAGAGACAGAGAGAAACAGAGACAGAGAAAAGAGAGAGAGGGAAACAGAGACAGAGAAAAGAGAGAGAGGGAAACAGAGACAGAGAAAAGAGACAGACAGAGAGAGAGAAACAGAGAGAGAGAAAAAGAGACAGAGAGAGAAACAGAGACAGAGAAAAGAGAGAGAGGGAAACAGAGACAGAGAAAAGAGAGAGAGGGAAACAGAGACAGAGAAAAAAAAGAAAGAGACAGAGAGAGATGGAGAGACAGAGAGAGATATAGAGGAGAGAGAGAGGGAGAGACAGAAAAAGAGACAGAGAGAGAAACAGAGAAAAGAGACAGACAGAGAGACACAGAAAAAAAGAAAGAGACAGAGAGAGATGGAGAGACAGAGAGAGATATAGAGGAGAGAGAGAGGGAGAGACAGAAAAAGAGACAGAGAGAGAAACAGAGACAGAGAAAAAGACAGAGAGAGAGAAAGATAGAGTGAGACAGAGTGAGAGCCCATTGTGTTTTTATAGATTTATGAACTTTGCTGTCAGCATGGTGGAACAGTCTGACAAAGGGTTGAATGGCAATTACTTGTTCAATAACATTTAGTGGAGCTGTTAAATGACTGCTGTGGGTCTGGCTGAATGAGAGTACTCACCAGGAGAGCTGCAGGGCTGGACCTGTGTGTGTGTGTGTGTCAGCAAGAACGGGCTCTTTGGAGCGAGTGAGAGTGAACATATCGGAGAGGGTTCACCTTGTCACCACTGCTATGTTCCTTCAAACACAACCCCACAGCACACACACACACACACACACACACACACACACAGACACACCCTCCCCCACATGGTAACAGCCTCACCTTGAGGGGGTGATGGGAGTCAGGTCCTTCCCCATGGTCTGGATGACTCGGCGGCCCCACACCCACAAACCGGCGCAGATGCCAATACCGCCGTATAACAGCAGCCAAATAGGAGTGTTAGCATCCTGCATCACACCACCCTGGTCGTAGATCATCCACAGCGCCACCAGGGGCCCGATGGCATTACTGCAAAAAAAAGTCAAATTTAGAATTTAGATATAAATCAGCGCAATGACGACTAGTAAATACAAAATTCTTCTGTTGCCAGGAGACAGAGGTGGTGTCGACCATCTTGAATTCAAGGTCAGTGAACACATCCACCAACACTGATGACATTTTGATACATAATCTAAACTTCGTAGATTAGTGGTTAGTGAGTAAGTAGCGGACGGCAGCACCTGACATCGTTGCCTCCGTGGGCGAAGGATCCAAAGCAGGCCGTCAGGATCTGCAGGAAGTGGAAAAGCTGGAACACCTCAGGCTTGTCCTTCTCCTCATGATCCTCCTCCTCCTCCGTCAGATCATCCAGAGGCATCGGCTCCGGCATCCCCTCCTCCTCCTCCAGGCCCTCCAGTTCTGTGGCCAGCTTCATCTCCACGCCTCCCTCCTCCGCCTCGATTTCCGCCTCGGCTACGGCGTTGCAGTACGACGAGTAGCTGTCGTAGCGTATCCTCTTCTTGGAATAGGACACGCTGTTGCTCCGGGCGCCTCCCTCGCCGACCAGCTTCTCGCTGTCATCGCGTGGCTCCGTGCAAATGAGTGGCTGCACCGGCATGCCGCAGATGGCCGCGGTGTAGCAGGTGTAGCTGTTGTTGCGGCGCAGCAGGCGGTAGTTGTTGTCGGGCTGGGGGTTGAAGCCCGAGCGGTCGCCGTCATCCATGCGGCCCAGGTGGATTTTATGAAGCAGATCCTTATACAGACCCGAGTCCTTGTGTACCGTGTGGTACACCTGACCATCGCTGCGTGTGGGTCCTTCAAAGCTGAAGCTGCCGTTGGAGACAGGAGACTTGAGGCAGCCGTTGGTCATGGAGTGTGTCCGACCTGTGGGGACAGCAAAGACAAAAACAGGTTCATGAAATCAGCAGTTTCGCCTGCTGTTTTAGATTCTAAACCTTTACAATTACAGTGGAACCTCAAGCGTCTCGACATACGAGTGAGCTTTCGAGCTAATTTTTGCTTCGAGATACGAGTAAAGATTTGAGATACGAGCACGCTTACAGACGTCGACGCTAAGTGGCCGAGCACTCGGAGCAAGTGTCTACGTACGGGCCAACTCTATTCCCTGCCTTCCTCCCTCCTCCCTCCTCCTCCTCCTCCTCCATTAGCCTCTACTGTGTCGTCTGTCTCGAAGGAAAGAACTCATAATTAAAACCACCTTTTATTTTATATCACAGGAATCCTGATATACTATAATTGTTTTGTGTGTGTGTCTCTGCAGCAATTAAAAACATGTTTTTTCCATTGTTATAAGCACTAATAAGGGAGGTTTTTTTTTTTAGAGGGACCGAACTGATTCATTTTTTTTCTGTTATTTTTTATGGGGAAAAAATGATTCAAATTACAAGCACCTCCAGTTACGAGCTCAGTCCTAGAACGGATCATGCATGTATTTCAAGGTTCCACTGTACAATTAACAATTAAAGAAAATTATAGCAGCTGACTTTTTTCAAGTCTGACTTTATTAGTAACCAGGTCATTAGCAATTATCATAATTTCTAATCAACCCAAAGCCTTAAAACTATTATACCATTATAAAACATATTATTAATTTTTTTCTTTGTCTTCACCAATCAGATTTAATCATAATTTTGCTTCACAGCCCAAATAGATCAGCCAGTAAACAGCCCTGCAGTAACCGGGGTTGGGAGGATCATCTTGAGGTCAACAGGTCAACCTGTTAACATTCTGACCCGTGTCCCTTTTTTTTTATCCATCAAAAAAAATTTGATTAATCTCATATCAAACTGAGCTGATTTTGGTCTTACCGTAAAACCTGCCGTTCGGCAAGACGGTGCCGCCATTGGCCAGGTTGGTGAGCTCTCCGCTGGACTGACGGGTGCCCCGATCACTGCCTGCGGTGAGCGGCACCACAGCTTCGTCTGTCCCTTTGGCTCCTGGGAGCTCTTTGAAGACTGGGTTCTCCTCCTCATCCTCGGGTATCTTGTCGAGACTATCGTCTGAGATCCTGGACAAAGCCTGGTTCTTCTTCAGTTGACCTGAAGGAAACCAGGAGATGAACGTTACATATAAAAAATGCACAAGACCTGTATTGTATTGTTTTCTTTTTCTTGTAATTATTTTTTAATTCGTTTTTTACTCTATACAAACATTTCCAAATCCAGTTTTTTTTTTTAAAAAAAGGTAGCCTGTTGCAACATTCCTCAGGCCTCAGGTTTACAAACATCAGCTGATCCAGGCTAATTCCATCGCTGACTGACTCGCTGTCCCTTCACTTCACCACACCACCACTAACTCAGGCATTAGCCTAACTTCTATTTTGATGGATGCAGTAACATTCAGATTAGCAGCGATAACATCACTCATAATCCTCACAGGAATTCGCTGTTCACGAGTCATTGAGCAACAGGTCAAGTCGGCCTCGGCCGTATTATGTTCAGTGTTGACATCAAGATGAATGCGTTTGCCTCATAGGTGTAAAAAAAAAAGAGAGATACTGATTTTCTTTTATTTCCACATCGGTGATGGTATTTAAGATTTTTTTTTTTTTTGAACAGCTTTGTTGCTGTAAACACAGCCGCTTGTGTCACAGCCTCAGTTATTTTCATTTACTGCTCTTTCCATTGTTTTGTTTAATCTGTCATGGACTTCAGGAGCATTGTCCACTCTGCTGCTGGCTAATTTTAAACATAAAAGAAACACTTCCTGCCCCCCCGGTTGTCTCACAAGCCTCTTCACACTGCAGGTCCTCACTCTCACATATTGTATCTGGTAACTGTAGGAACTGGAGAACCATACAGGGTTTGTCTCTGGGTTTTTATTGGATTTGGCTGAGGCCAATGAGAAAACACATCAATTGGCATTCAGTCTGTGGTGTTGGAGCACAGTGTCAGTGTCAGTGTGTGTGTGCGTGTGTGTGTGTGTGTGTGTGAGAGAGAGAGAGAGAGAGAGAGAGAGCAGAGCCTCAAAGTTTTGTTGTTGCTCCTGGTTTTGAATGCTGGGACAGATACGTACTTGCTATTTTTCTCCTCATCCAAGGACACACGAAAAACCAGACCACCGCTGCACAGACCAGTGACCCGGCTAAGGTTATGAGGAATATGGCCCACACCGGTAGCAGCTCCAACCCCAGCACTGGAGATAAGTAAAAAGTACAAACAGGCGTAAGAAAATGGACATTCAAACTCTCGTAGGTTGAAACAGAAGTCACGTGACCTCACTGTCGTGACCTCTGTGCTGACCAGGTACAGCATGAACACTATGAGAAGTATTACTACATGACAGTCATCAGATGTCTGTGTGTGTGTTGTTTGTCCAACAAGTCATATAATAAGCTTTGAGAGCTGCTCGTAATTTTGTCACACTGTCGGAAGGAATTTTGTGCAGGCAAATGTCAGGGGCACCGCCAGTGAGACTGAGATGATAATTTGATGGGACGTTGGTGTCACATGGTGGAAAAAAAAACCCACTGTCAATAAAGAGTACTCTACTGACTCTGGTCAGTACTTACAGGGGGCTCCAGTGTACATGATGGAAAATGTGTTAATCCCAATGGTGGTGGCGTAGAAGACAGGCAGCGCTCGCAGACCGTTGGGGACAGAGTCGTCCTGAGGAGAAAATGGGGATTTTTAAATTTTTTTTTTAGAGAGAGAGAGAAAGAGAGAGACATGGAGTAGGAGAGAGAGAGACAAACAAAGGCACAGAGACAGACAGACAGAGTGACAGAGAGAAAGAGTGAGAGTGAGACAGAGGGAATGACAGGACCCAGGGGTCCTCCTCCAGTTGTTGACCACTGCGTTACATGGACAAAACCCTGTCCTCTGAGTCTCGCTGTTGTTATTGTTAATGGCATAAGAACAAAACTTTTCTATCTTGTTGACAAATACACAAAGTTCCCAGTGTGATGTAACTATTACTGCAGCCAGTAGACACCTGAAAGTCTAATACAAAGGGATTCATTATATGAATATTTCAACATCAACTCAAGTTATAGCCCTGTCTTTAACAGGTTATTGCTTAATCTTTGCACAGGAACCAGGAAACGTTGGTGATAAAGGTTGTTGTGACCGACTAACCCAGAAACCAGTCCATAAACTCAGGGTTTTATGATCTGCACAGGTCAACGTCAATGATCTACCGCATGACTTCTCGTCCCGACTTTGGCCAAGCGATAACTTCAAAGACGACGTGAATAAAAAATAAGTTCAGTGAAGTTAAAAAAGTTAAACTGAGGGCCGTGACCTCAGTGTGACCCCGGATGTTTTCCTCCTCCTCCTCGTCGTTTGTCTGAGTTCCTGTTATGTAACATCAGAACTGAGGTTAAGACCACATACAAAACATCCTATCTGAACTGAGTCTCTGTGCGTGTGTTGAACATTTTTCTAATGATTGTATTTTCTGGTTCAGTTATGTGTGAGTTGTAGGAGGGAGTGTCACCTTGGTGAGGATGAAGTGTCTGATGAGCAAGAAGAGGAGACCAGACATGAGTCCAGAGAGCAGAGGGGAGATGAACCATGAAGCCACTGAGGAGGAAAGAGAAAAGAATAAAAAACATTTTAATAAATATTTAGGGTCCGTGACAGTGGATTAAAGATGAAGCCCAGCATGGATTCAGGACTTTTAGTGACATGTCACAGTTAAAACCTGAAGTTCTAATAAGTGAAATGTGGAGAAAAAGAGATTAGAATGAATATCCTAATCCCAAAATATAAATTCTGTGTGAATGGACCTGATGAAATTGAACTGTCAGGGTTAGGATTTTTCATTGATTTTAATGTGATGATTAATACGATTAATGTAATTTTTTCACATCATTCACACATCTTTTTTAGTGTCAGGAGTGTGGGGGGAGTTGTGGTTAATGAAGTGAATAATTAACAGTAGATAAGTATAAGAAATAAACGAGCGACTTTCTTATTTCTCATGTCGATGATATGAAAAACATTCAAAAACACCTGACAAATGCAACAGCAACAGAGGCTGAGTTTGTAGTAATAATACTGTACTATGTCTGACATAAAACATGCAGCAAGTTCTCTATATTTTTAATTTAAAAAAAATAAATAAAGATGAACAAATCTAAGAAAAAATGTTATATTTATAACTCATAACTCCATGACAGTTTTTTTTATCCGATCTTTTCACCTTTAGCAGAGTACGTCCTGCTGCGTGTCTGTTCTCTCACTACCTGTAGAGCAACGTCGTCGTCAAAATGTGAAGCTTTTTTTTTTTTTAAAACACCTCGTGACTGTTGTTGCTCTTATATCAGAAACTGATGTGTTCACCAAGTCCCCTGAACCTCAGCAAACACTAAATTGATTTTTCCTCTGAAAAAAAAATTATTATCAAATAATAATGATCAAATCCAAGTACAGACTTGGGACTCTGTGCACCAGGGACGTAGGATTATATCACTGGTCTAGACGGGAGGACCAAGATACTGATAAAAACACGCTTCACTCTCACCAATCTTCACCAGCTGCATCCACTGCACTCCCTTGGTGCCGATGGCCACCATGGAGAAACCGATGGTGGCGCCGACAATGCAGTGAGTCCCAGAAATGGGCAGTTTGAGGAAAGAGGCGATCAGCTGCCAGACGGCCGAGCCTGTGATGAAGAGAGAGACGCAAGATTATAGAAAACCTCAAACCTTTTCTTAATTTGAAACAGCTACCACAGCTCTGTAATGACCCATTACAGAGCTCAATTATGTGAAGTGGTTGGACTGTGGGGTTGTTTTCTTTGTTTGTCTTTTTTTACCACAGTATAAAAAAGTTGAAATACAGGGATTTAGAGAGCAACTGTATTTACATGTTATAATAAAAGTATCAATTATAAGGTTATCAAATTTTGAATCAAAATTATGATCATGATTAATCGCAGCTACACTGTGATTAATCATAAATCAACCTTCCAAAATATGACGAAAAAATAAAAATTGCAAATATAAGACATAAATAAACAAATACATTGTATGTTGACTGTCAGAGCAACACCACTGGGTTGATTGTGGAACTACAGTATTTGATAAACGGTGGGCATTATTTCCCCAATGGAACTAAAAGGCCTTAAAAATATAATTAATATCACAAATTAATTAACATGATAAATGCATTTAAGTTTAAACAACCCTAATTTATACCAAATCTATCATTGATTTTTTTATTAATGATTATTGATATTATACTGAAGTGTAGTGAGAGTAGGCAGCAGCTAGAAGAGAACCTAGAGAGATGGAGGTTTGCACTAGAAAGAAGAGGAATGAAGGTCAGTCGTACTAAGACAGAGTACATGTGTGTAAACGAAAGGGAGAACAGTGAAATAGTGAGGCTACAAGGAGCAGAGGTGGTGAAGGTGTAGGAGTTTAGGTACTTAGGATCAACTGTTCAGAGCAGAGGAGACTGTGGAAGAGAGGTGAAGAATAGAGTACAGGCAGGATGGAACAGCTGGAGAAAAGTGTCAGGAGTGATCTGTGACAGAAGAGTGTCAGCTAAGGTGAGTAGCAATAGGCAGAAGACAGGAGGTGGAGCTGGAGGGGGCAGAGTTAAAGATGCTAAGATTCTCTTTAGGAGTGACAAGAATGGACAGGATCAGGAATGAGGTCATTAGAGGGACAACACAGACAGGAAGGTTTGGAGAAAAAGCTAGAGAAGCCAGATTGAGATGGTTTGGACATGTGCAGAGGAGGGACAGTGGATACATTGGTAGAAGAATGTTAGAGATGGAGCTACCAGGTAGGAGAAAGAGAGGAAGACCAAAGAGGAGATATATGGATGTAGTGAGGGAAGACATGCAGATAGTTGGAGTCAGAGTAGAAGATGCAGAGAACAGGGAGAGATGGAAATCAATGATTCACTGTGGCAAACACTGAAAAAAGGGACAAAGCCGAAAGAAAAAGAAGAAGATATTATACTGAAGTCTTTAAAACATCATTAAAAAAAAAACGGTCGTCAGAGGCCGGTTTGACAGGATTCTGAAAGCTAAACACATCTCACATGCACGCGCACACACACAGACACACACCATCAATCTGCTCCATCGACACACTCTTACTGGAGCTTGGAGCAAACTAAAATTATAATTAACTGAGATGCAGTAATTAAATTTGAAGGAGTTTCTGTGTCACAGCATCTGTGACAGATTTTCATCTAAGAAACTGGTAAAATCTGTAAAAAAAAAACCCAACAAGGTTCTGTTATCATCATTCCACACCTGAGGTCATTGGCTAAATAAATCTGAAGAGTCCAAGCCCTGATGGAGACTCTGATAAACCCTGCTTTGTTGGACTGCTCTGAGATCAGATTTGTAATCATATACAAACTTTTTAGTGTTTTCAACATTTGCTGGTGTCACTGAGCCAAACACACACACACACACACACACACATACACACTCATTGTCAATGACCTGGGAATTCCTTGTGCAGAATGTTCCTCATTTATCACAGTTTCCCAGCGCTGGCTGCCAACACGATGACATTGTCTCAACAGGAGCTCATTGTTTTCTGTTCATTTGCTGAGGTAATCTGAAGCTCATGTGTAAAGCTACGGTTGATAGTCAACAATCACGGCCTGTGATTCGGCGCAAATACAGTGTGTTTTATTGTGAAGGCTGTGAATGCTGTTTTCAGTGAAGGCTTTTTTTTTTAAACCAGCCTCTACTTATTCCTGCACTTTCTTTTTTTAAAAGGTGCCTGAGAAACTTTTGTTTTCACTTCCCACAAAAACCAGTAGGAATTTATTGACTCGGAAGAGTTGGACTCAAACACAGGCTGGATGAGGAGGTGCAGGGAGGGAGAGATTAATAATGACCTGAGTGATGTCTCTACCCTGTCCTCCAGACGATAGACTGTAAACTGGTGTACACAGTGAATGGCTGCACACTCACCCACTCACTCTACTGTCTCTGAGGACATGAATGGATGCTTTTACTTCCACGTGTGTGAAAAATACCAACTGCAAAACTACAGACCCGGGTGTTAAATATGAACTGGGGATTAAATTGATTTAAAAATAAAATTATTTATGGCCACATTCACTAGTTAGTTTCAAAATGAGCAACAAAAAACTGCATCTGGTCATGACAATTTTATTATTGTGTATTTTCAGGGAAGAAGAGATTAACACACTTTGATGCCCTCTGTGTCCACACAGCCGTTAAAAACAAGCTGTTTGTATTTACTGTTTACCAATAAATGTCGTAACATTTTGTATAAGGTCGCGATCCTGTAGCACAAGGTTCATTGTACGCTGCTAAGAAGTAAATGTCAGTAATTAATAATAAAGTATTTGGTATTTATATTTCAAACCTTCAGCTATAAGAAGTAAAAAGACACCTGTATACTAGACCCACATTTTAAAAGTCACAAACCTTCACGACCTAAGTCAATAGACATTATTAGTAAACTCCTTGGAAACATGAGGAAAAGAAATCTCTTGTGACCCACTTGAGGGTCGCGACCCAGTCTTTGGGAAACAATGTACTAGAAGAACAGTAGAAATAACTGTCAACAGATACCCATGATCCTCTGCTTTCTTAGTGACTTAGTCACTTTCTAAAGCTTAGAAGTAAGTTTAAGTAAGTCTAAGAAGTAAGTCTAAGCTTAGAAGTAAGTTCTGAATTAGTTGTACTTCAAGGATGAAGTACAGCCAGTTGTACTTCATCCTTGTGTAACATTCTCTTATCTGAGATTGGATGGTAGATTTAAATGGTAGATATCAATAAGTGATCGTCATCAATATCTGTGTCATCGTCATAATGACGTGATGACTTCCTCCACCTGTGTATTACAGCCAGTCTTAGTTCTTTCTGATCGATCAACCAATGATAGCTCTCATGCTAATCCCTACGTGCAAAAAAAAAGCTAACAATAAACAGTCCAGTCCTACTCACCGACCATGGCGCTGACCTCTCCTGCCATGAGCACGGGCACCGTGTCGTTGTACAGGTTGACATCTATGATGCCCTTCCGAATGGTCTCGCCCACTTTTGCTCCCAGCAGCATGGAGCCCAGCGTCTCAAAGATGGAGGCCAAGATGCAGGCCTGCTTCAGCGTGACCACGCCGGAGCCCACGGCTGTTCCGAACGAGTTGGCAACATCGTTAGCGCCCACAGAAAAGGCCAGGATGAAGGCGATAATGAAGCCAACGATGACCATCCACAGATATGATTCCATATCCATCTTGATGCGATTTCAGAAGAAACAAATCCAAGTGGAGAAAAAAAAATAGATACAATTTCTCTCTAAGAAGAAGTGCAGTGTGCGGTGTTTTTAGCAGAGGACTTGGTAAGCCCACTTTTCTTATGTCCCCTAGTTGTCTAGAGTTCAAGGGGAGAAGCACAGCTGCTAACTAAGTGTTTGGAGTTCAGTCCAAAGATTGGAGACTAGTGATGGTCGGTGCAGGGAGCATTCCATATTTTAGTGTGAGACAGCCTGTCTACACCTTCCTTCACCTGCAGCAGAGACAAGAGAGAGGAACACATTAGTGTCTCAAGGTTTGATTGCTCTTTAAAAAAAAAAAAACAAAGACAAAGAGAGGCACTGAGAGGGAGGGAGAAAAGGAAAGAAAAGTGTATGGTTAGGGATGAAGGATGAAAACGCAGAGCTGGCTGTAAGAAAACAGTCCCAGCGCTGCGGTGGGGGCAGAGCTGGAGATGTCTCACATCACAGCAAAAAAGGAAATCACAGTTTGCACTTCAAAGAAATCAAATCAGAGTGAGCAGAGCATCTGCCGTCAGCACTGAGATTAAAAAAAGACACTAAAGACACTATATGAGACAGGCTCAGACGTTGAAGTGGAGAGTTAACGCCTTATCACCGCAGAACAGGATGGATGACATTTTAAACCAAAACTGCATTCATTTTAGACGTTGTGCCTTCTCCACACATCCAGGGGGCAGTAGGTCAAAGGTTACCATTTCAACATTGGTTCAACAAAATATGGATTAGATGACTCTGTATGTATGTCACAATTCCAAAAATTCTATAGATCCATCCATCATCAACCACTTATCCAGGGCCAGGTCGCGGGGGCAACAGTCTGATCAGGGACACCCAGACTTCCCTCTCCCTCGACACTTCCTCCAGCTCTTCTGGGGGGACCCCAAGGCGCTCACAGGCCAGCCGAGCGACGTAGTCGCTCCAGCGTGTCTTAGGTCTTCCCCTAGGTCTCCTCCCAGAGGGACGGCACCCGAGCAACTCCCGAGGGAGGCGTCCGGGGGGCATGCGATGTAAATGCCCAAGCCACCTCAGCTGACTCCTCTCGATGTGGAGGAGCAGCGGCTCTACTTCGAGCTCCTCTCGGGTGACAAAGCTCCTCACCCTATCTCTAAGGGAGCGCTCTGCCACCCTGTGGAGAAAGCTCAATTCGGCCGCTTGTATCCGGGATCTCGTTCTTTCAGTCATGACCCTGGTCATGATAATCATTATCGTCATGAGCTCTAAGTCAAATTCTATAGATATATAATCTATAGATATATAATAAAATATATAATAATAATAATAATAATAATAATAATAATAATAATATATATATATACACACACACAAATATATATATAAATATAATATATATAAATATATATACACACACATATATATGTTGTATATATATATATATATATACACACACACATATATATAGTTGACCTTGAGACTGTTTACTTGAGTTTTTTCCTAAATCTTTAAATATAGGAACCTAGTTTTTAAAGAGGACAAGCCATTGTGGCCCAATTCCTAATATAAATCATAACAAGAGTGAATTTGGCCATATTGAGATGTCCTACCTTCCAAAGAAATCAATCTTTTAAGCAAAGGTTGAAAGAAAGAAAATTAACTTGTACTTGATGAACTGCCCGAGACCCATCAATCTTTCAGCAAACAAAAGTCTTTGACTGTCGACCAGCCGAAACCAGCTTTCACGCAGTTACCCCTTCATATCTGTGAGCTCTCAGCTGCAGCATGATGTTACCCTCCTCCCTGGGTGACAGTCAAAAGTTCACACTAGTTTTGTAACAAGCGCCGGGGAACCAAGTTCATAGAATGGCCTCTGCTGCATTACAAAATCCAACCAGAAACGGTGTCTGGATTAAAGTCCAAGACTGCAATGCAGCAAGAACATCAGCAGTAACTGCTGCTGCTGCTGGAGTTAAGAGGACTTCACAGAATTGCACTCTGAGAGAGAAGGTTTCACTGCACTGCACTGTCTTATAGCCTGTCTACAAAAGAAAGAAATACCAGTCTCTGTCGTGAGCACCTGTTAGTCTGACATGTTGAATTGTGGGATGTCAGGGCTACAGTGCACATGGCTGTACATTAGGTAAAAGTTAAAGGTCATCAGGGAATTGGTGTCTGTCAAAAAAAGCTCGACTGGGCAACTAAAAATATTCACAGTCGTAATGATGTGTAAAAAATAATGGTACCTTACAGTTTTTGTACGGGATGGACGTCCTCCCTTGGTTTTACTTTTGAAGCTAACAAGAAATGCTCCACTGGGAAGCAGTACCACTGCTGGACAGCAGGTGCTGACTCTATATGTACATTTTTCATGGAACTGGAGTAAAATGAATGTAACGTTTACGTTAACGTAACTCGAATAATTTTTTCCCCATAAGAAATAACAGAAAAAATTAATTATTAAAAAAATTAAATACATAAAGAAATTTCATGTCAATTTCCATGGTCATCATGTGTTTCTTCTTCTCACCACCATCCTTACCACTCACGCTCTTAGGATTCATCACTATCATAAAGAATAATGCACAAAATAGAGAGAAAATTACGTAACACAAACGCAATATGGAAGACTTGATGGAGATGCATACGGAAGCTTTCTAGTATCTCAAATCTTTACTGGAATCTCCAAGCAAAAATTTGCTCGAAGGTTTGTTCGTATCTCGAGGAGCCACTGTATTTGGTTTTAGAGGTTAATATATATTTATAAAGTCTGTTAGACCTTCACACCTTGATGTGATTCTATTTGGAACAATAACGGTAAAGGAAATCAAACTTTGTGACATAACAATACTGCCAGAGTTTAGTACTTGATATTTCACAAATCTGTCACATCATTACTGAAGACGCACATCAGCAGCACCAGCTGTAGACTGGTGACATGTGACAGGCACTAGAGTTGGTGCAGCTGAGAAGTTTGGGACGTTGGATATTTTAGGATTGTGAGCAATGACGTCTGTGAGCTGTGACAGAGACTAACAGACATCAGTGCACAAACTGGATCAGATCACACACACACACACACAACACAACAGCTCCTCTCTGATCCAAACACCATCTACTGTAGGCTCTTAACATAATCCAGGAAACAGCAGACACTGGGTGCTGGTTGGTTAACAGATAACAGGTGAGGCCAAACACTGAGTTCTGTTTTACCCTGAACCTTCTGAGTCAAGACTGCCCCTGTTGGTCAACACTGATTCTGATGAGGATCATGAGTTATCCGTTGAGAACTGGATCACATCAGATTAACTAAAACAATAGGTCCACTGCGTCGCTGCCCTCTGATAACCTGCACAATTACATCGTAGCCATAACAACAACTCGGCCGCCAACACAGACATCTCTGGTGGTCCTGAAGAACTGTCTGGCCCACAAATGACTCTCTCTCTGGTGTCTGTGCCACATAATCAAAGTCATTTCACAGGATTTAACGGTTCCATCCATGGTTACACCAGTTAATGGGAGAACATTAAATATAAACAGCTTGAAGGCCGGACTAGAACATTCTCTCTGCACAAACTGACTGTGCGCTCCACATCGTGTGGTGAGCAGACGACTTCTGTGGCTGTGAACAGCCTGTAGGCCAGTTCTGCCTCCCTCCAACTTCCAACAAAGAGCTCCATCTGGAGCAGCTGAGGTCACAAACTGCCATCCCTTTATCCTCAGTTCAACCACAAACACACATCATCTAAGTAAGAGCTTTATCAGTCGTATCCAATTCACAACCTTAAAAGACCTCCCTGGTCTTTGACCTAAGACCCCCAAGACATGAGGTGAAATGATGATGAACAGTGAACTATCTCACCACGAGGTATGTGTTCTCTGACAGTGACTTAGCAGATTGTGGGAGATGTTTTTAATTATCGAGGACAAAGTGAAGTCAGATGTAGCCATAAGACAAAAAACAAGATTTTACAGAGTCTATAGCTCAACCATGTTCACACACTAACCCACCTGAGGGTCATCACCGTCAGGGGGGTTGCAATAGACGGTGTTTTTGAAGTCGTCTCGCATCATGTTTCCCAGGAGTTTACGAATGTCTATTGACTTGGGTCGCGGAGGTGACTTTTAAAATATGGGCCCCCAGAAATAAAGTTTGGGAAACACAAATTCTGACATTACAACGGGTCGAGTCCACATCAGAGGAAAACACCAAAAGTGTTTACGAGCGTCTCGACATACGAGTATTTCGAGAAAAGAGCAAACCTTTGAGCACTCAGAGCAGCCCATGTTATTAGCTCTAATAAGGGAGTTTTTTAGAGGGCCGGAATGGATTAATTCTTTTCTGTTATTCCTAATGGGGAAAAAATGATTCGAGATAAGAGCTCGGTCCTGGAACAGATTATGCTTGTATTTCGATGTTACACTTTACTTAATGTCTGTCTTTTAAAATGGGTTTCACGTGGAATGATTTGAAGGTGTGATTTAAACAATGACAACCACAGAGGCGTTACATTTCATTAACTACTTAAAGTGGAAAATTAGCAAGACATTTAGTTCATTTAGGACTGACATCACCACCCAGTTTTTAATCATCTAATTCTAACTCTGCTTTTTGTGTAGTTAAAAAGTCTACCCATAATCCTCAACGTCATAAAGGACAACAATGCATCAGCCAAAGTACATTCATTCAGGACTGCTCCCAGCTGTTCTTTATAGCTTGATCCAAATTAAACATCCAGCACAGTAACAGGTCATCAACCGACCTTCAATTATGTGTAATTACTTAGATAACAGGCAGAAGCTATAGGCAGATAAGAACAGACAAAAATAACATTGCAAACTCATTGTATTGTTCATTGTATCTGTAATTACTTCAATTCAACCAAAGTGATACATTTTGATTTAATTTAATATCAATAATTCCATCATTTGGATTTGTCACAAATAAAAACATGTCATGTTTTGTCATATTCATATCCTGATTAATCATGATCAATTGTAGTTGATTAGTTTAATTTTTCTTTTTTAAATACATTTTGAGATACAATCTAATTCTAAAAGTCTAAGTGTTTCAACAGTGGCGTGCATGTACAGAACATACCAGACCACATTTATCAGGTCGAACTTTCTAAAGAGGGAAACTGGACATGACAGCTGCGAGATGCCACATGAACGACTTTAAAGATCGAACCTGTGACGACTACTTCACATGCTGCCGCTGCCTGCTGTGCACATAAAAACTATTTTCTGTGGCCTGTTGACTGTGGTGATACAC